TTCAGCGTCCTGAAGTTGGTGTGAGCCATCATTTACAAATGCCTGACCTGGAATATACGCCTTACTTCTCGGCTATTCTCTCCAGCGAGGTATTGTCATAGAATCCGAAATCGCCGGTATGTAAAATGTAATCGGCCTTCGCGGTCTTTGCGAGCTCATTCAGAGATCTGAGATTCCCTGGATTTCCTTGAATCAGACCTGATTTATGGTTGGATGAAGCACCGCCGACTGACCTCTGACATCTGCAATACACAGCACTCGAATAGGACCGGACTGGATGATACGGCCATTATTTGGCAAGAGCGCCTGGGCTCCGGGAGTCGGCCCTGACGCTGTGCCGTTTGGGAGGTATCCTTGATTTGGGAACTGAGGTCGTGGCTGTTGACAGATTTGAATCAGCGGAAGTGCTACGGGGGTCATGACTGGGAGGGCCATGGTCGCAGATAGTGGGACAGAGGAAGAAGAAGTTCGGAAACTACTTTCTGATGAATGTGAGGAACAGGACTTACTGAAGCCATGAGTGAATGGCAAACTGGAGGTGCGGGACAAAGGTTGTGGTTGTAAACTGAGGCCGCAGCGCAGGTGAATCGTGCGGCAAGTTTGAGAGGTCTGGGAGAGGAAGGGAATGAAAATTAGTATTAGAAATTTGTTTGCTGGGTGACGAGATCAGGATGCGCTTTGATTTAGAGATAACGGGGAGTGAGGCAAGAAGAACAATGGTCGAAAGATGATGGGACTCTGTAAAGGCTCGACTGTTCAGAACTGTCAGGTCGTCTACATACACAAATTCACGAGCGAGACCCCAGGAAAGCAAAATCAAGCGGCAAGAGCTGCGGCTGCCTGAATGGGATTAGTCTTCTTGGCATTCCGCCCCTTTACTTGGTGTTCGCCAAGTCGCGCTCCCTCCAGGTCTTTCGCGCTGCGTACTGGGTACTCCCTACCAATCTCAGTAGACAAAGGCGGAATACTTTGTGTCTGAGCTAGGTGATATAGTTATTGCTGCGGCTACATCTTCCACACGGCTGGTGCGGAAATTTTGTGAATGACAGGTCACCGCCAACATCACGATAAGTTGGCGGGCAAACAGACGTTGTTACATGTAAATGGGTCAAACCTTTCGCCCGCCAACCGCAACTCCATATCGTTTCATCTCTTTTGTAGCTTCATAGCACACATGCAGGCCAGGTATATCCCAAAGTCATCCATTTTTGATAGTATAATATACCTTCCTGCAGTCCATCCCTAATCAGTCCGAAAGATCGTACCTGAGCAGATCCCAAGGCCGCGGTTGAGGGCCTTGCTTCATGTCGAGACAGCACCCAAGATCTTGTCAACATCCTTCTTGTCGACAACGGCGCCACCTTCGGAGCATTTGGCCTTCGCACGAAGCTCACTACACAGGTTATCAATGTCAATCTCGCCATTTCGGAATTTCTCCATCGACTGCAGTCGATCCCTATCGTTGATGTCAGCAGTCGTTGGGCCAAATCTGGTGGGTTTCACCAACCAAATCTTATTGCATGTCATGGGTTTCTCGTTATCAGGAACGACTTCTTCATTGCCGTTCTTAGCCTCTTCGACTTGTTTCAGAAGGTCAGTTTTGGGCGCCGGTTCCGGCGCCACATCGTTATAGTTGTGGAGGGGACTGCCCAGGTCCGGAAGAGGATAGGCATCATTAAAGAACGCCCCAAAGTCTTGAGACAGGATATTTTCTTGCGTCTCGCGATAATCGCCGAACAGAATGGGGTCAAAAGAGTTGTTGTTCTGCTGAGCAAGCCAGTTGATGCCGTTGACGTCGAAGCCAGGGTCGTTAACATAGCCTAACGGAATTTCGTCAGACATTTTCAAGATTGGAGGTATTGGATCCTCCGCGCAGCCACAGGCCAGCTGGAGTTGATTGCAGAGATAGTCCTTACCACCAAATGGAGCTTGATTTTCTTCGCTGATAGGGTTGAGGTTGTATTCAGTCAGTTTGTTCGCGGGAGAGTTCAAGCTCGGCTCTGGAGAAGTGCCGATGGACGATATGGCGTTCTGTGATTCAGTGGACGAACTTGGGGAGTCGGAGTTGGAAATACTCGAGTTCGAGTAGAGTCCGGGCATATTACCCAAAACCCCATTGTCAAGGCTGCCACGGTTACTCTGGGGGGCGGCGTTGTAGGCAGAAAGAGCTGATTTCGGAAAATAACTTCCCAGGCTAGCGTGGCGGCTGGCTTCCAGAATCGACGGGCTAAACAGTCCAGACAAGCTGTCAATACTGCCCTGGTGCTCTTGTTGTTTGCTTTGAGCCTGGGGGGAGGCGGTAAATGTGTTGCCAATTGGCGACTGGCTCAAAGATCCGTATCTTGTGGGTTGGTTCTGCGGAGTAGAAGTGGAACGGCGACCGGCAGCGTTTTGATTCCCGGGGGTCGCACCTGGGGTTGGAATAGACGAGGATCTGCCAGGATTGTTGCCCTGCGGCTTCTGCATATTCGAATGGCCAAGCAGCTTCGTCGCAGGCATTGGCGGGAGATCCCCGAACTTTGGAAATTCAAACTGGAAGTTGTTGCCGTTAGGATTGCGGCTTTGGCTCACTGTGACCGGCTGCGATCTATTCAAGCCATTACTGCTGATCCACGAGAGTCGCTTGCGGTATTCTTTCAACTCGACTTGCAAGCGCTCCACCTGGGCACGAAGGAGGCCATTTTCATGGTTGGCCGACTCCGAGGCCTTTTCCAAGTCTTCCACTTTCGTTTCTAGATCCTTAAGGTGCTTCTCCTTGCGCTCCCTAAAGGCTCGTTGCGCGGCGCGGTTCTGGGCCTTGCGCTTGGAGGTAGGTTCCGAAGTCAATGGTTTTCTTCCGGGCTTTTTAGCAGTCTTGTCCTCGCCTTCTCTTCTCTTGCCCCCTCCTTCGTCGTCATCTTCTTTTCCGTCGACACTCTTTCGCTTATCATGTCGTTCGGCCAAAGCCGGCTCTCCGGGTATCTCACCGATCATGCGACTATTCTCGTCGAAGTCAAAAGATTCGTCTCCAAAGTCGGCATCGGGATCGAAGTCTAGGAACGGGCTGTCATCGCTGAACTCGAGGTTACCTGAGCCAGGAGCACTGGACATGTTTGGAGTGAAGTTGAAATTCTGTGGGGTATTCTTCTGAGTGCTTGATGTCGATTGTCTGGGCGAGTGATTCGCATTCAATGTCGCCATAAGAAGCTCTTGCTGATCTGGGGACAGGTAGAGACCTTCAGTAGACAGTCGCGACATTGACTTCGTTGAAGCTCTGGGGGGGAGTCAGGAGGTGAATTTGTTTAGGATCGCGGGCGGCAGACCAAAGTCGTCGACACGGAGGTGGCGGAAAAATCAGGTTGCAAGGTACCCAAACAGTTGCCCCCCTCTACTGCGTCAATAAGCAGTATCAAGAGGCCGCTCCAATGTTGCGGGTTTGATTCGAAAGGATGTGGAGGAGGGAGGAAAATGGATTGAGGAATGAGAAGAGGGTGGGATGGAGGGTTGATGGCGCGGAAACGAATAATAGGCGGGGCGGTCACCGCAGGGAAGGCCAGCGCCTCACAAAAAAAAGGGTAGAAATGACTCGGTAAAAACGCTCAATGATGGCAGAGTTGGATGTAATATGAGAAGGCTGTAGGACTGCGGGACGGACAAATGGGATGTAAGTGGCTAGGGGAAGAGGAAAAGCGAGATGCGAAAGGGAAAAAGAAGGGGAAAGAAGGGGATTGCAAAGTTGCGATGAGATCAATCCATCCGGAGTTGTGGGTGGCAGTAGAGAGGCACCGTGTAACAAGTACTGGGTAAGTGTAAGGCGCAGAGGCCGTAGCGTCAGGTTGGCACTGGAGGAGATGCAGGTGAGCAATGAACCCTGCCAAGGACAAGGGAACCCAGAGGTGGTAGGTGTGATAGGTGCCCCCAGTTAGTGATGCTCTTTACCCGGAAGCCCCCAAACCGCTAAATGGTTCTCGCTAACTGCCTCTGGACGGTGTGAATTGCCTAGAGGGGCTTCCCGGGGCATGCCTACATAGGTGCTGCCTAGACGCTGCCTAGTCCAGATATCGGGTGCCCCCCATTGACGCTGCCCGTGCGGCTATATATTCCCCTCCTGGACTGATGGCCTCTATTGCCTCTCCACTGTAGCCCTGCGCATACTTGGACCACAGAACCTCGTACAGCCATCTTCTTTCCCAATCTCTTAGTTGTCGATCGAGGGAAACCACGCATTGAGCCAGGGTCAGATGGTGGCGATTTGTCTCGGGACTGGCAGCAGGAATGGGCAACCAGGCAGCGTGTGAATGGTCCTCAAGTTGATTTCTAAGCGGCAGTGAGTCGCGACCGATCCATGCCATCCACGGCGCTCCATCCCAATACCGACTGACAATGTTGGCGAATCAGCGATGCTGCCTGCTCACTACCACTCTTCCACACGCAGCCTCCAGCCCGTCATCCTGCCCGTCCACCAATTGTCGCATCGCCTCGCCTGCAAATTTACTTCGCCGGGATACGAGCGCAACGGGTCCGGCGTGGTACCTTTTGCGCCATCTTAAAGTCGCAACTCGCTGTACCAGTTTAAGTTCTCACCTGGGTGTTGGTGGCTCTTCAGACCGACGTCATCATGTCTACCTACCCGTGCTGTCCGCAGTCACCTGAGGCTGTAGAAGGTGAGCACGCCGCCATCGGGATACGCTGTAGATTCTTTGAGTGAATGGCGGACGCGACCGGGGCATTAAAAAGGGCACACATACCGAGTGTAGGCTTGAGTGGTGGATGGGCGAAGAGTGAATTCAAGAGGCTTGAGAGAACGTTGAGTTCAAGGTTCGCCTGCGCCGGCGAAAAGGCTTGGCGAGGCGTAGGCAGTCTCTCCATCTCGTGCGATCAGCCAACTGCTTCATGAGAAACCATTTCCACTCGCTTTCGAATTGAGCCTCACTCTCCTGCGTGCTTGTAGACTTTTGGTCACGAAATCGCCGTCTTTCCTTGCACCTTGCTTGTGCCTGTCGTCTGCCAATCCTTCCATCATGAGTAGTGCCGAGATCGCGGCCCTCGAGGGCGAAGTGAAGGAATACAAACTACAACTGGAGACGGTCCAGCTGAGTCTGCAAAATGACCCCGATAACAGCGAGTTGCAGAGCCTCAGACAAGAACTTGAAGAAGTCATTTCCCTCACCGAATCTGCCATTGCAGAACTAAAGCCTCCATCAGCACCAACTCCGCCTGCACAACCCGCCACGCCGCTCGTGAAGGAAAAATGGTCCAAAGAGAACCACCCTGCATATCAAGCAGGTTATCGGAAGCCCGAGGTCGAGTCGGAAGACACGAGCAGTCCTACGGCGTTTGCTGTCAACGACACGGTATCGGCCAGGTGGAAATCCGGCGATGGGGGATATTATACAGCGCGCATTACATCCATCACAGGTTCATCCAGTGACCCAGTCTATATCGTAACATTCAAAAACTACGGCAATACAGAAACGCTCAAAGCCAAGGACATCAAGCCGCTGACCACTGAAGCCAGGAAGCGTAAGGCTGATGGAATGTCAGGATCATCCACCCCAGTTTCTCCGCCGTCGAATCCGAATGTCATTTCGGCCGCAGCCAGCGTTGATCTCGCTCTGGCACAGCAGGCTCGCCGTGAGCCAAGCAAAGTCAGCGACGGGCCCATTCGACCCGCGAAGATACCTCGCAAGGTCAAGGCCAACAAGGAGCTGGAAGCCGGCAAATCCAAATGGCAAGACTTTGCAGCCAAGAGCAAGGCCGGGAAAATGACCAAGAAGGAAAGCATGTTCCGCACGGGTGAAAGTGTCAAGGCTAGAGGTAAGTGACTTCTCGTGTCTTTGAACGGCGAAGAATTCGACTGACTTGTGTCTAGTGGGGTTTACCGGCAGTGGTCATGAGATGCGCAAAGATCCTGCAAGAACGCGACACATTTACCAAGAGGGCGGCCAGGATGACTGAATATGACATTGGGAGGAACCCTTTGATTCTGTCTTTGCCATCAGTATCTATCTTGCTTGCTTTGAGCGCTCATGGGTTTTATGAGGCAAACGCTGACAGGATGGCAAATTGCAGATTCAGCCACGGCAATCACGAGCGTTGTACAGAACGGAGCAGGAGTAGATCTACAATGAGACAAGTATCTTCCTTATCGGCGTTACGACAGTGTCTGACCTATGAATTTCTCCTTTGCAGGATAGCACCTCGGCGTTGAAGCCGAGAGAACATCTGCAACTCAGTGATGACCGCCGCAACCAAAGTTGAAGCAAGCGCATCATCCTGTCGGTTGATTCTTGACCATTTTGGACGTCGTCCGTGGCATAAGTGTTCGTTCCACCAAGCATGTTGGGCGTCTCCTAAATCCACGAATTGCCTTTCTCGTTTGCCGGACAGTCTGTTGTTGACGGCCCCTGCCCTGCCCTTTAACGGAGACCTTGGAGTTACAATCCCAGTTTCAAGTTTTCACCCTGAACGCCTGCCCGTCTCAGCCGGCGGGGATATGGTCCCCAGTACTGCATGCAAACTTTGTTTCCGCAAACCTGTTGTCTCGCCAAGGATGCCGCAAGTCGCACAAAGCCGCGAAAGCTGAAAGCCGCGAGAGCCGTACGCTGTGCCTCCCATGTCTGAGGCGGAGACGGCCCGTCGTGATGGAGGATCTGCTCTTAACTCGAGCAGATCTAGACGTAAACAGCGGTCTTTCGTTTATAGTCCACCCTGAATTCTAAAGCTGCTCACCACTAATACAAGCATATTGATCACTCCCCATAACAGAGGCGTCCAGGTACTCATCCCAAAGTAACCCGCATTGTAGACCGCACCCAGCACCAGGCCTACCAAACTGCCGGCCAGCAAGGCCTCGCTTGCCCCAATAATAATATACACGACAGGCACAATCCAGACCCAACTCAGCGTCTCCCCGATCGGATTGTCGCCCAGTAACTTCCTGTTCTTCGCACTCAGCGCCCTGCCCCACGGCGAATTGAGGTACTTGCGGCGCTGGTCCGCGGACGCGAATTGCATGAGCACGGCCCAGGTGGCGACACAGGCGTGCGCAGCGACCATGGTGATGAGCGTCCAGTAGAGCGTGTAGCGGTAGATGTCTGAGAGAAAGTACAGGTACCGCGCTTCGCCTGGGTCGGCGTGGACAGGCCAGTACAGGGCCGGGAATTCGGGGGTCTCGTAGGAGAGGGGCACGCCGGCGCCGTAGGTTGTCATTTTTTCATTTGCGGGGGGGGGGGGGGGGGGGGATGGCGATGGCCCAGGAGCGAGTAGACAGGTTAGGGTGTCTCGAGGGCGTCGGTACGTGACGGGCCCATCGTCGCGTTCGCGTCGTAGTCGGTGTTGGGTATTGTCAAAGACAATTGCAGAGAGAGCTCGACCGTTGGAAACGTGGTCCGCAGTACTGGGTACGCAATCCCAGTATGGAGTTCAGCCGACGATGATCCGAAGCATTGGGAACCAATTGGTTCGCTCCAGCTCCTGCCATCCCCCAGATTTCCTCCTGAACTCAGCCTAGCAAACGATATTGCTCTTCTCTCGACAAAAAGGTAACAATGGACTCAGAATTGCGAGCGGGAACCTCACACTGCGAGTCACCCTCCTGCACAGTCCCTTTGACCACTCGTGGGTCGTATCTACGTTTTCAAAAGTCTGCGAGAGCCCGCCCGAAGTGTTCTGGCCACTACTCATCACCTACTGGATCGTCCATGCAGTTGTCTATGCAGTGTTCTTCCTATTTTGACGACGTTGACGGCAGTGTCTTCCCTACGGTTTGGCAGAGTGCAATCAAGAAGCAGTCCCAGGAAAGAGACAGGCAGCTACCATCGATGATCAACCGATGGACTAGACTTTCCTTTCTCCCTTGGTATGAACGAGTGGTCGACGTGCCAGGTGGCGCCATATTCTTCCAAGATTCTCTACTGGCTGGATCTTGGGCAGCTGAGCCTCGAACGCTCAAGTCTCAGCGCCTTCAAAACTGTCAGGATGATATTTTCCCGACGGTACGGCCCCAGCGAGTCTTCCCTCCATCATTTGCACATGTGCTCCAAATTTCCCGTCGAGGTCTCTGCTCGTTCCGGCGCCGCATTGAATCTTCTAGACGCCATTTCCTTCGCTTCTGGATTGAAAGGCTACTTTCGCTGTTACTTCGGATCTCACTCAATCGATAACTATCGCTTCGACCCTCTCATACGTATTGTTGTGCTTTTTCCTCAGCCTTGTCTACAATGCGATACCGTGGATAACTTGCACAATGCTATATCCTCGGTTCTCCTCACGATGAACTTTACGGATTTCCGAATGAAGAGGAAAATGCCACAATGTACACGGCGCTTTTTCTTCCTCCATCAGAATCTTTAGTCCTTGTACCTACCGAGATGGAAGCCGAGGAGCGGGAGGCCGGGCCCAGCCCAGTGCTTGTTTCATTTTTGTGAATCCCATTCAGTTTGACTTCCTCCAGCACCACCACGTCTATTTTTGTCGTGCAGCAAGTGATGCCATGCTATGCAGTGACGGGAACCGTTATCGTCTTTTCAGTTTTTACCTGCTCGATATGAGATCATTAGCACCAAACACGGAGACTAAGCTGGGGGAATTATCGAAGATGTCGTGATGTAGGTTCTGTTTTTGATATTTCGATTGGTATACTAAGATATGAAGAATAGGAAGTTTCCCGGTTGTGCTTGATCTTTTTGTTAAGCCAACTAAAAGTGTTCTGCTCGATGGTTCAATTACCAGTATTGCTGTGGATATTGACGGTCTTTCCAGCGCAAGGCTGAAGGTTAAGGGGATACAAAACGAGATAAGCCGAAATGGCAATAGCTGTCCGGCCTAGCCTACACCTTGGTACATAACGTCCCGCTGAAAGGGCTCTCAATATCTCCGAAGGAGATGTGTGGGTGTTGGGACTTGGATGCCCAGAAGGGAAAAATGGCTAAGAATTTCAAGAAGGAGTATACTATTGTGAGCGGGCGATAGTGGAACGAGGCAGACGACCAGGGGATTTTTTTGAGGGTGTGGGTATGTAAGGCAGTGGAGAGGAAGAACTTTGGAGCTGTCTGGTGAATCGAGCGTGGGGGCACTTAGGGAAGACAAGAGAGGGTGTTGCTCTGAGGCAATACACGCCCAGAAATGAGCAGGAATGTAAAATGAAACATTTGATGAGCCCTCAAACTGCTTCGAGACGACGATCTGACCGATTGCAAAGGAGTCGGCATTGGTGACAGGCAAAAAACGGACTGACAGCACCCGAACGAGAACATGGAGATGTGAGAGTGGCAGGTGTGGTGAGAAAATATCCAGACCTGGACTTAGTTGTGGGTGCTGCGCGTTGGCATATATAATGCAGACTCCGGATTGCTCTCGTCCCGTCATGTCGCACTCGCACTATCACAGAGAGCTGGAATGAAATCGGTGAGAGCTGGACGACATGGTCTGCAGTGAAAGACTCAGGGCCTGTCGAGCGAGTTTCACTTGGATGATGCCCGTAATCATCGACACGATAGAAGCAATCGTCGACACTAGTGTCAAGGCCAGGATGACCAGGGCGATCCAGAATGTCCAGAATTGTTGCGGGTTTCGTTGGTCGTGCCACAACTGGGCCCAGCTCACGGGCGGCGACTGGAAGACTTCTTCGTAGACCTCCAGAAGGCGGACTTTCCAGTGGGGAAAATCGAGAAGGTGCAATCTTCGGCCCTGTTCGATTGGACCCGAAATGTTGTGGAAGGTCTGGCCGTTTTGTTCAAGGAGAGTTTTGGTCCGGGTGTCCCAGAAGGGAAACAGGAGGTCTAGGGTCTGGATGGTCTCTTTGAGCACAGTGGCTGGCACTGGAGATCTAAGGTGCGTAGTGGTCAGCAAGCGTCATCAGGTCAAGGCCTGGCTTTTGGTCAATACGATGTAGCGGCATTTGAGTTTTTACCTTTGACGCGAACCTTTCTCGGCTTCGACTAACAGAGCTTGGAGAGTCTGTTTGTGCGGGTAGACCCAGAGCACCTTTTCTTTCTTCTCACGACGTTCAAGCCGGAGATGGTCCTCCAGGCTGTTCGTCCAATCCACCTTGAGCTGGCAAAATTGAACCATGTTGGCCGCAGTGAAGTATGGGTCCAGTCGCCGCTCTTTGGCTCCCAATTCCCAGTCCTCGACGGGGAACAGACCGGCTAGGAAGTCGGCCAGCACGACGTCTTCATCCCAGTGGACTTGCGGAACTCCAGTGCTGGATTCGTCGTCTCGCACATTGATCTGAAGCCAGAGCCTCAGAGACAGGTCGATGGATCGATTGAGAACCCAATCCTCAGCATGACCAAAGTGATGAACCGCCCTCAGTTTCTGTCGGATCTCGCTCTTTTCACAGTCGGGATGCTGGCGGAGGAGCTTGGCAATGGTGACCACGTCTTCGTGAGATTGGGTCACAATCCCCGCGATCTGATGCGTGCCACCTCGCAACCAGGCGATTTCACCTTCATAATATCTGAAATAGTCCTGAAAGGCTTCGAGTCCGCCATGGTCGTCGAAGGTGTCGCCAAAGAACGCTCGTCCGATGAGCTTCTTCGTTTCGTTTCCGGGCGCCGTGGCAAGATTTGTTGTGGGTTCCATGGCTCCTAGCTTCCGCGTCAATCAAGTTCTAATGTTCCTTCCCGGACTGCTTGGATTTACTACCACGATTCTGCAACGCTTTACAAGTATCCAGGGTTTGAGTTCTCCCTTGATCATGTTCACCGCCTTGAATGTGTCTCAGTTAGGCTGAGGCTGTGCAGGTGCCCTGGCACTGATGGCTGGAGACCGCAGCGCTGCACACCTATCATTCTGCAGAAGCTTCCCTCTGCTTTCGCATTTCCGGAAATGCCCAACAGCGATCCAATAGACAGCAAAGCCAGGCAGAACCAGAAGGGCCAACAAAGATGGAGACAGAGGAGACCAGCAATCAGAACCTCGTGTCGCCTGTCTTAGTCTGCATAGCTGCGCCTCCCTAGGCAGGTTTTCCTTCTGCTCGTCTTCCGTGCCCCGATTTCCTGTATTATCTTATTCCCTTATTTTCTTCCCGTCTCCGACTCTTCATAACTCACATCCTTCCTGGACTTTTTGCTGAAAGCTCTAGGTAACGGACAGGATGCCTAACCGTAGCCAATTACTTCTCGATAGTAGTGGTTCGCAAGAGTCGAAGCCCGCGAGGCTACAAGCTCGTCTCCCAATTGGGTTCTTCTCAAACTTCCGTGGACTCAGTTCCCCGATATGCGACCCAGAGTCTCAAAGTGTTCACATGATTACGAACATAAGTGAACGTCCAAGGCCTTCCAAACCCTCAGGTTCAAATCAGCATTTGTTTGACCCAGAGTCATCTGGATCGGCGGTCTCGAACACATTGGGATCTTCCTCCTCTACCACCGATTCGATAGCTGCCGAAACTGACGCCTTGACTACTCCTCCGAGCACTGCTCCAACATCGGTCGACTCTGCCCTTATCCCAACCCCGCCCGTACATACATTCGAGACCCAGGGGATCTTCATACAAACATACGTAGATCCAAGGCTTAGCAAAACATACAGACACGAGATCAGAACTCGAGTGAGGACCGCCTTGTCGAGTACATGCAAAAGGTACACTTGGGAACTGCAAATCTCTCTGGCAGGATCCCGTTCTGAGTCGTTGACTCCGTCCATCCTGGTATGGTGTGGGACCCGTGACTCGAAACTTCAAACTCAGAAATATTTCGATCATGACCAGTGGCTTCGAGAGCGTCTACGCGTTCTTGAGTGGAACTATCACATACTCGACCACACTCCGTCGATGAGTGCCAAGCAAGCCGCAAGACACCACCAGCTACTTTCGACCCTCGAAGGCTCCTCGCTGACTATTTCGGGCGATACTGTCACCCCGTGCGGCCTTGATCTAAACTTGCCAGGCGGTAAAACATGCAAGACTGGGGGTCTGGTGTTGATCGAGGGTGTTCCATATATCCAAGGACCAAGACACGGAGTTGATGACTTCCTCCGATCATTGGGCCCGAACATGACTGGGATTGAACTTGATCCCATGTCTTCATCCAAATTTTCCCATATCCGTTCGTCCAACTCACTCGACAAGTCCCATGCATCCTCAGAGTCGTCTCTACTCTTCAATGTTCGTCGTGAAGGCGAACAGACAAAATCTCAAGCGGCTCCCGGAAGCTATCAAGTTAAAATCCTCTTCCCACCAGTATCAGCCTCGAACTCAAAACTGGATAATTGTGTCGAAGATGACTGTGACTGGCTGCTTGTAGATCTGTTCACTCTACCTCCTGATGCTCTCGAGAAGGTGCTCAGACCAAACCAGATCTCTGGAACCGAAGTCCGAGGCTTTGCGGCCGGAGATGTCGAAGATCAGGGGTTTGTCACGATTTCCGTGCTCGGAGGTCTGAGAACAGGCGTCTTGACTAACATTTCCTCGACCTTGAACATCAATGGCTCGCGTTACGAGGCGATGCTAATCACAATGGACAAACTTCTGCGTGAGTATTGACTCCATTCGCTGGTAAACACTCACTCACTAATATGCCGTAGCCCTAGGTACCTCTGGCATCTGGGTCAAAAAGGGTGACTGTGTTGCCGGATACATTATTGCGGTGCGACAAGATCTCCCCTGGGCGTATATGATTCCGATGGGAGATGCCATCACGGATATGAAGAAGACGCTTCGCACAAACGATGTCCGCATACCAGAAGCTGCTGAAGTCGAGGTATTGAGAGAGCGGTTCATTTCAAAAGCAATGACAAACTATGACCAAGAAGACTCGAACTTGACTGGTCTGTCTCCGATGAACAGTAAATCTACGATGGCCTTGGATGTTGAGGATTCCACAGCCGAACTAAGGAGCGACCCTCATACCACAAGGGACTCTCTCGTTCTATTGGGAGGTTTATCTCCCTCACAATACATCCCTAGTCGCCTCGGAAGCCACCTCGTTTCGAACTATCTCCATGAGGTTTCCGTTCCGCAATCCCCTGCCTCAAAGCTGCGACAAGCACTCGAGTGGAGAATGGAGCGCAATTGGGAGCACCAGAAGTTCATTTCACATAGAGAGATCGACATACTCATCACCAAAGAAGTTGTCTCGGAACTGCTTCGCGAGGATGTCTCTCTCCGCGAGACCATGCCGTATTTGTCGGACAACATGAGAGGGACCCTGATCAAACACATCAAAACCTTTACACCTCGATTACTCTGCTTGTGTATTTATGTGGACTTACCGTTGGCTTGCCTGTGTGAGCTTCTGGATTATGGTGTGGATGACTCCAACCTTCCTCTATCTATTGAACAATGTCCCGCAGTGAGATGGCGAACACAGTGGGACCTGATGATCCAGGCCCAGGGCATCTTTCTGGCCCTTGAGTTTCCAAGCGACTTGCTTTTTCAAGACTGCGAAGTCTCCGAAAACATAGTTCTCCCATTCCTTTCAGAAACTCCAAAGAAGCTTATTGGTGAGGGCAGCTTTGGGCGGGTCTACAAGGTCAAGATCCATCCAGACTACGATGTCTTCTCTGCCAAAGAGACCACGCCAAGACATTATGCTTTGAAGGTTTTTCAAGGAGGCGCCCAGCATGAGGCCGCCTATAGAAATGAAGTCTCATGCCTTCAGCAACTATCGAAAACCTTCCATGAACACATCATGACATCCCACGCATCTTGGCGACAAGGGGACCGCTATTTCCTACTGATGACAGCCGCTGACGGTAACTTAAGCGAGTTCTTGAGTACAAAAGAAAGTCCAAATCTGTCGTACAGGAACATCGAATGGCTCCTCTTGCAAATACGGGGGCTGGCGGATGCATTATCGGTAATACACAATGCATTATCGACAATATACGGCGCGGCTACGGAGTCTGAACCAAGATACACCGGATTTCATCATGACATCAAACCAGCAAACATACTCGTATTTAGCAAAGACGCCGAGCAGCTTACGTTGAAGATCAGTGATTTCGGCATGGCTCGATTTGGCCCTTGCTTAAATACTGAGGGGCTGGAGTCGGAAAGTTACTTCACCCGCCGCAGTCCAGATATCAATGCTGCATACGGAGCACCTGAGACGTATCAGTCAGGACAACTATCGAGGAGCTATGACATCTGGTCTCTTGGCTGTGTTTTTACCGATGTTTTGGTGTGGTTCCTAGGAGGAGCTAATTCCGATCCAAAGACTTTTACTTTACAGAGGTCCCAGGAGATACTACATGCCAAAGGAAAAACCAATGGTTCATTTTGGTACATCGATGCAAGAGGAGATGCACATGTGAAGCCCATTGTCGTCAAAAGGTTGTTAGAGCTTAGGCTTAGGTGTTCTAGGCTCTCAGCCCTTGCAGGTCTTGTCGACATCATTTGCAGTATGCTGACTGTTGACCCTACAAGTCGACCTAACGCCTTTATTCTTCGTACCGAGTTAGACAAACTTGTTCTTCAGGCAGATGACGGTGCCTTGAGACCTAGTTATGGATACCTCTGCCACTGTCTGACAAGAGAGGGGGAAGATTGGGACCAAGTATCGAGAGCAAAGATTTACAAATTTCTTGGAGAAATTGAGGAGAAGATGAGAACTAGCAAACGCGCTTCCTTGCGTGGACAGGTGAGAAGAATGTACCAGCTCCGCCGACAGATTGAGACTCTCGTTTGGAATGTGCACGACAGGGAAGCCGGCAAGGTTTTCTGGGAAGCCTTTGACATGAACTATCACCGGAAGTCCAATGCTGTCAAGGTCACATCGAACATGGACTTCGTTAAAATTGTGGCCTACAGCTACGGCAGACCAACGACGGACGGTGAACTACTATCACTTATGAGGAGCATCGCTACCTTCCCTTGCTCCATACAGCACCGATTCATGGTATATTTCAGTCTCACGACAGACCTGGTGTTGGTCCTCAAACCCCGCCAAGGGACCTCAAGTCTTACGCGCGATGGAGGACGAATTAGCCTCAGAAATCTGGTTCCCTCCGACCATGCCTTCCTTGCAGCGTCCAGTAATGGTGACTTACCTACAATGCGGAAGTTCCTGGCTAGCAAGGAAGCTTCTCCGTTCATGGTCACCGACGGAGGCGTGACTCCGTTGTGCCTTTCCATCCAGAACGGCCATGCGGAAGCTGTGGACTTGTTACTGACAGAAGGAGCCTACGTGAATGAGCCCTTTGGCCGGAAAATGGCCACTGCACTCTCTTGGGCGTTGAAGCATCGCCGCGAGGATATATGCCGGATGCTGTTAAGACGCGGTGCTAACTACCATGATCAAAACGTCTATGGCTGGTCACCTATATTCTACTTGTGGTCCCAGGGAGAACGAATTGAGGACAGTCGGTTGACCGTCCTGATTGAAATGCTCCGAGCAAGGGATGACGAGTTTCCGTGGCTTCATCAGAACATTGTTGACACGGCAGGTTGGGGCTTGATGCATCGTGTGGCTGTCTTCGGAACGCCAGCAGACGTCAAGATGCTGATAAGAGCCGGTGTGGATGTATTCCAACCTTCTGGACATAATAACTGGCAAGCCCCCCATTTCGCCGTTCAATTTGGGGTGCATGACAACTTCCTCATATTGCTTGCGGAATATGAGCGGCGCTATGGCTTGACCAAGGCAATAGAAATGTCCGACTCTACGGGTTGGACCATGCTGCAGATTGCGATTGCTGGAGGACACGAAGAAGTGGTAAAAGGAGGCCGTGACGAGATTCTTCGCACTCTCTTGGGTTTGGGAGCAGATCGGGAAGCCCAGACATGGCCTGTGTCGGATGAGTCCTCAGATGAGTCCTCGGATGAGTGGTATGACGCGGAAGAGGAGTTGTGGCAGGATCTTGACCCAATCCCGGGGTCAGGTAAGTTGACTGATTGATCTAGAGAAGAATATATCTAAAGCGACAGAAGAGGCTAGTGGGCTTTGAAATACTGGTAGGGGGTGATAGGTTGCCCCAGTGCTTGCCCAGTGCTATGATTTCTCATATCTAGCCTAATTGGGCTAGTCCAGCACAGAATACAGTGGAGCACGAAGGATTTCAGACTCAGTAGGACCGAATATATATAATATCCATGCTGAATCACTTGACTGCTCGCACGTACAATGGCCGCTGAAGATAGTTACGTCCAAATTTTTTTTTTTTGGAAGCGTGAGTGAAGGTGCCTAGAAATGGTTCTACCGGTTGAACCATTTGGTATCATGGAAAGGTTGGATGGATGATTGAAAAGACCGAGCTGGAGCGACTGGACAGGACTGGAGTAACAAGAGGATTTGAAGGTGCTCACGATCAGAGATCAGACCATCAAAGCATCCTCAGCTCAATCGAACCATGCGCGACATTACGATTTGTAAATTAAAACAGCATGGAAGTATGTAGACGACGACTCGAAATACCAAACTCGATGGAGCGGTAAGTCTCACTTCCTCGTTTCCCCTCTATCGTCGTCCCCGTTGTCCCTATCGTCTTTCTCGTTGTCGTCGTCAACCTCCGTAGTCTTTGTTCTTGTCCTTGTCCTTGTCCTTGTTCTCATTGTCGTCCATCTATGTCTCCGCCTCCTTAGCCAGTACCGTATCATATGTACCCAATTCGCAAACCCCCCTATTCGGCCTCATCGCCGTCCATCCTCGTCAGTCAGTCATCACCATATTCGGATGTTCGCCAACTGAACGAGCGAATTGAATGGGTAGATCCCAGAAGTCCACCCCAAAGCCGCCCATATGGGATGAAGAAGCTGAGAACAAAGAGTCCTAAATCCATGCTCATGCCCACCCCCATGGCCAAGTCCATATCCAAGTCCACGTCGCTTTCCTCCATCTGTCCATCCTACCATCCAGAACCCTGCTTGGTGCGGTGGTGAACAGTGTATAGGTTCTCCGACGCATCTAGTCCTGTCTGCGGGTATCATTCAGACGCCCACGCCCGTGATCCTCCTCACGGCCCTCCTAGCTCCCTCACCAGTAATCGTGATTTTCCCTTCAACTTCCAACACTTTGACGACCTCGTTGAACTCGGTGCCTTCGACCTCAAGACTGCTTCCCTCGGCGATTTTTCGATAGAGATCCGTGTACCTCATACCTCCTCCGCTACGGATTGTCCTGTCCGTATCCAGTATTTCCAGTACCGCTCGTTTTAGGTCCTCTCTCCTGCGCCTCTCGCTGACACCGCCCCCCTCACTGAGCAAGCCCATATCAATCAGGCCTGTCCTTGCGTCCGTGGCGCTCGCCTTGATGGCCGACTTGATCAATCTCACTGCTTCATTCACATCCTTCTCCTCAACGATGGGTGAGAGTCTCATCTTGGCGTGCGCTTCAGATAAACGAATCATTGATTCAAGCTGGCGAGTGGTGGCGGTGATGCGTTTCTCTGAGGATTGTATGTTTGAACCGAGATTGCGCATAGCAACGTAAGCGTTCGTTAAGGCGTTAGCAGCCGGAGGGGTAAGACACGGGTGGATGTTGTTGCGGGCGTACGAGATGTAGGAGGTGAGAAACTCTATGGGCTAAAATGGCTGTTAACTAGCGTATTCTGGCAAGTACGATATGTTAGTGTTTGGTAGGGAGGAATTGAACGTACCAAGATCTCCTCCCTCGACGCATTTTCCGGCGTGTCTTCGAGATACATTCCGACCAAATGCTTCGCGAGTCTCCGATCATTTACCTCATCAATTCGATCCAGCACAAGATAGACAAGATCAAACCTCGACAATAGCGTCGGCGGAAGATCAATGTTCTGAGGCACCGGAAGATTCGGGTTGTACTTGCTACCTATGGGATTCGCTGAGGCCAGGATACTTGTCCTTGCGTTCAACGTAGTGATGATGCCCGCTTTCGCAATGGAGACGGTCTGCTGTTCCATGACTTCGTGCAGTACCGAGCGAGTAGACTCGTTCATCTTGTCGAATTCGTCGATGCAGCATACGCCGCCATCGGAGAGTACCAAAGCTCCGGATTCGAGGACGAGTTGTTTGGATTCTGGATCTCGGGTCACATAGGCGGTCAACCCGACCGCTGAGGAGCCTTTCCCCGATGTATACACTCCTCGTGGTGCTATCTTGTGGACGTACTGTAAGAGCTGAGACTTAGCAGTAGATGGATCACCACACAGCAGGACGTTAATGTCGCCTCTGTATCTGGGGCTGCCACCCTTCGCAAATGTCTTATTCGTGCCGCCGAATAGTTGCAGGAGGATACCTTTCTTGACATCTTCCAGCTCATAAATACTTGGACCAAGACTCCTCGAGAGGAGCTCATAGATGTCTTCGCGAGCTGCTGTTTTCTTGATTTTGGCTTCTTCTTCGGCAGTCACTTTTCGCGTCTGCTCAACATCGCCTGCAACCTGCTCAGAGAGCTCTTGCTCTATCGTCGATACGTCAATACCTAACTTCCGCTTGTCGACCTTTTGAACATGTAGAACATCAACGTAAGTCTTGAACAGGGCTTTCACTGTTCGCTGGCGGGGATTGACACGGACAGGATTGCTTCGGAAAATGCCAGTCACCTCAATCCGATCACCGGCCTTGCAGACATCTACCAAGTCATCATATACGCAAAGGGACACGCTATGAGGCGTCTGCCCGTCTGGGACCGAATCTGGCGTCTCTTGTAATTTGATCACCTGCTTGTCGGCAAAGACGCACCGGTTATGGATGATCTCCATGCTGTCCTTGGATTTGCATGCAGGGCGTGGGCATTCCGTCGGCTCTGCAATCTTTCCGCGATCGATTGACACAAACAGCGTATGCTGGCAGACGGTGCATTTGAAGAACGCCTCTTTCATATCGGGTATGACCGGGGTCGTTCGGATGACAAGTCCTTTGACCGAAATAAGCTTGTCGATGTCCGCTGGATCGAGATCGCGCATGTTGATCGTCTTGTCCAGACCAAATGGCATCACCTTCCAGGGGTGCAACTCTGCTTCTTCAACCGGATCGGGAATTTCGTCGGTAGCAGGTCCTGCCGCTGGTGTCCCAGGTCCCAAGTCAGAAGATGGCATGGGAGGCATTGAGCTCCCATTTGCTGCCCGTGAGGCAGGAGCAGCGGCATGAGTTCGCCGCAACTCTTGCATTTCCTTCTGGGCTAGTTCCACCATGACATCTTTTACAGCTTGATCCATCAACGGGATGATTTCCTGAGGATAGGCCTGAAGCTGATGCCACAGTTTCAAGGTCGCAGGATATGCTTTGAGATTGCGCGCGTCTAGGTTCAGCGGGTGAATCCCCATCTTTCTCATGTTCTGGAGCATGTCCAGATACTCCTTCTCGTCCGCCACCGCGCCGAGAGCACGTGTTTCCTCTTCCGTCGCACCATCGGCCCACATGCGATATTTCTTAGCATAGTTGTAAAGGAAGTTCTTGAATGATGCCATGGAATCTACAACGGATATGTTGGTGCCCCAGATGACTCTTGTCGAGTCCCCTCCCATCGCATCAGCCTCGGACGTGTCAGGATTGAGGTTTGAGAAGGTAGCCTCTGAAGTCGGATCATGTCCATCCCTAATGGGCATGCCATCCTCGCCAATGTAGATTCGACGACGAGGAGCGGGAGAAGGCGCAAACGCGTCAGAATGAATGTCACCTCTCCGGGAAGATATTCTTGGTTGTTGATCCTGACGGACAAAAAGGGCGCTGCTGCTGCTGCCAATTTCGGATCGGGGTTGATGAGAACGTCGCACAGGGCTCGAGCTGGGATCATATCTGACTGGGGATGAGTCTGTTGAATGTCAGAATAGCTCAAAGCCATTGAGAGCGGGACTCAAATACCTGCAACCGGTCGGGTTGCTGCTCGCGGAGTTGGCTCGCGGTCGCCTACATCGGACGAGTGTCTCGGGGGAGAACTGATGAGCATGCCATCACTTGCCAGCTGTGACGGAGGCGCGGGGTTTGTTCGCACAGGGGACGATTGAAAGGAAAATGGCGAGGAGGACGCAACTGCGCCAGCTGCATCAGGTGCTCGTCTGGTGCTTCTGGGAGTGGTCTGGGATTGTTGAGCTGGAGTCGAGGATTGGGAATTCCGAGAGGATTGCCCCCGGCGCCGTGAGGATGGCGTCGACGACATAATGGCGGTGGGCAACGATGGCAGCGTGGCGTTGGCAGGTGTTCACATCAAGATGGATAGAAAGGGGGGTTGTGAAATCAAGACGCGTCCCAAGAGGATACGACGCGAGACGCGAGACCTTCGCGTAAAGTGGTTCTTAGCGTGAAACCACGCCCGCGATCTCACTCGTTCACCATCTCCCAGCCTTCCGCCGCTTCATATATCAGTGCCACACACGACGCTACTTTACAGCCTACGGCTGCAGCATTAGTTAGTTTTGCTGTTGTTCCACGTCACAGCTTATACGACTGTCTTGGGAGCGCTGTCAAACGAAAAGCCAGCGCCAGAAATACTATGACCGAGGTTTCGCCAGAGCGCGACTGCTGGGACATGTTCATATCTGCAGTTATATCGCAGACACATGCTACATACCATCTCATTCGGCCGAGTCAATCGTGGCTCGACAAAGAAACATGATATATTCCAAAGGATTTATGGACTATTCTACTACAACATATGCAGAGCGAGATGAGTAAATCCACAGATGGTTTCTAGAGGAGCCTGCATCCCGAAGATCATCGGCCGAGCAACGCGCCCTACGCTTCTTCCACCTCTGTGGTCTATCATCTGTGACCTCCGTTCGCCGTACATGTCAAAGGCCCTGACTGCAGTCAAACAGGTACGTCGTTAACTTTGAACAAACGCAAGAGGGACAGCTGCCGGTTGTGTCCAACGTCCAACAGAATGGCGTCCGAAATGCATGTTGCATATGTCATTGCTGCAGCCACGGGGATCATCAAGAATGTATGATTCATATTTTAGCTTCCAAGAGAGACATTATTGACAAGTCTCGTCATGTGGAGGGGGGGTGTAGGATTGGAACGAAGCATTGGCGATATAGACACATATATTCATCTGGAAGGGGGGACCTTGTATTTCGCCCGAGATGCTTTACCTACACATTCGGCAGGCCATGAGAAGCGTCAGCCGCATTTGCAACCAAGCGGCAGGAATTTTTGCCCACTACACGAGGATGCAAAAGCTGGTTTGAGCTCTGCGGTACATGTTTTGACCGCCACAAGATACCCTCTCCTCATATTATTGGAATGTGGACTCCGTGATCCGCCGGATTTGGAGCTCCTCCAGGGACTCGTAAGCAATGAATGCACCTCGGCTACCCACAGACCGAAAGGATCGGAAAATGGATTGGAGCCCATTCAGAAATGCAAAGACGACAGCACCATAGGACCACATCTCGATGTATTCCTACTGCTTGCCAGCTGCCTCGGCCGGCAAGTTTCCTGGTGGTTACTTCTCCCACAGTCTGGTGTCTCGCTGCTGGTTGAAGCGATCTGGAGTCGGAGCAAAACCTTCCCCACATGACCACGCACATCGGGATTGCGGATTGGACTATTCCAGCCAACCCGATCTCGATGGTATGTGAGGAGCTGGCAACTTCCGGCCGTCCTCACGGTTAGACGGCAGAGACATGCGGGCTTGCAACAAGATGAAGAAAGAAGCTCAGGGAAAAACAAAGAAACCGAACAGTGAAACCTTCCTACAACAAATCTAAGAAAAGTGAAGGGAGGGGAAAAAGAAATCAAGCGAGCAAGGCAAGCCAGTGTAGGTTATGCTCGGAAGAGCAGTCTTCGACGTACTCACTACAACAGTGTGAAGGGCGAACAAAGGTCGGTGAACAAGGCCAGAAACAGAAACGGAGCCGTGAACCAGAGGAGGCGAAGCAAATTCGAGCACAGCAGAGCAAATTGCAAGTTCGTGAAGCTGGAAGCAGAAAACCAGGGCTGGTCTAGTGCCAGTCACTAGCAACTCATCTGCGGTGTTTGGTCACGCGTACACAAAGGGAATTGCAGAAGAGGCGAAGTGGAGTGTCGGAGCAAATTGGAGCGAAATCCAAGGAGGGACGTAGGTATGTACTCCTGTACCTAGGCCCGGTGGCCGGTCACTCACAGACCAAGGTATGTACACCCTCACCGATTCTGCAGCGGAGGGTACATGGGGCCCGTGGCTGGTGGACAATGACAGGGCGAGGCTTTGGCTCGGCAGTTGAAATGCAGGGCCTGTGGATCGACAGGTACAAGGCGGATCTGGAGTCTGACTGAGAGTTTGTTCCAGAACATGGAGGCCCGAAGGCAGCTGACTGGACCAGACTGACTGATTGATGGGTACTCTGTGCCTACCAGTACGACTGACGGACCTGTCGAGCCCAGTGTCGACGACAAGCAAGGAAAGAAGCAAGGAAGAGGGAACGAGAGAGCCAAGTCATGGAGGGATCCATCCCGGCGCTGCACTCCTTCTCCTCCATCATCTCTGGTCTGAAATTTTCTTTGCGCAAATCTGGTCACGCGCAATAATAGCTTTGTTGATGGCGCCTGGCTGGCTATTCATCTCGGATCGGAGTTTCTGACACGCACACGCACACACACAATTTAGGCTCCCTGGCTAATATATCTGCAAAGATCCAGCCTATTTGCCCACCTGCTCAGCCCGCCCGCGCGAACATGGCCCTGCTGACTCGAAAAAGGACAACGGAGGTTGGAGAATGGAGAACAGAGGATGGTGGGGGATCGAGAGAGAGGACTGATAGGTACGCTACAGCTGACTACCAACCGACTGGAGAAGTGTTCCGATCTTGATTCCCAAACCTTCTTGCTCTACTACTTGCCCCAGTCGGGGTCCTCCCTCGTCCTCTACCTCCTCTATATACTCACCCTAATCCCCCGATCCTCTTCTAGGAGAGAGATTGTTTCTCCTTTTTCCCCTCTCTTGCCCTCTCTCCCCTTCCCATATACTTGTACCTCAGGCCCCCCATTCACAGTACGGAATACCTCTCTACGAGTTGTACACGACACTCAGCCCGCCTGTTGACTCATCAAAACGAACCAAACGGCTCAGCCTTGTATCTACTGGGTATCTTGCACCAGCTCGTCCAGGCACAGACGGCCACATATACACACCGTACTTTGTCCACATCAAAGAAATGGGGCACCCAAATCACGACACGCCAAATGGCACGAGGCAAATGGCCAACTCTTCCCCTTTTTTCCCACCCCTCCAAGATACCGAACTACAAGTACAGCTACTGGAGCGAAGAAGCCAGCAGCGAAGGAGAGATCCGGACCGCCGCCGCCGCCTTGCTGGCCACGTCGGGCAGCACCCTTGAGTGATCCGATTCAGGCATAGCGGCCCAAAGCTGGGCGGTGACCCTGCCTATCATCCACTCTTTTGGGCACCCCTGGGCCTAGCAGCCCTCAACTGGTGTTCCCCGACCAGTCAGGGCAATTGACGTGGGCAACCCCCTCTGGCCCCCCTGGCCGGGCCCCTGCGCTCTGACTTGTCTTGTCGTCCGGGGATTGGACCCTGAGGTGCCCGAAACAAACCCAACCAGGACGGTGAACAGGGTCCAGGCACACACAGCAAACACAACGCATCTCATTCTGACATCCGACATTCTTCCTCCCTTGGGGCCAGGGCAAGGTTCCATCACATTCGGTACCAGGGGTGTAGGGAGTGGGAGTACTTTATATCACAGACACCATGTGGCTGCCTTGCTTTTCTCACACGAGCCCCCTTGGAAGGATTGTATATCTCCCTCCTTCCTCTTCCCCTCTACTGACTCTCTCTCTCCTATGGACGGAGTATATATGGCTGGGACGCATGCAGCATGAGGGTTTCAGTGACCTATTCTTCTCATCTCTGGTCTGGGTTGACGACCCTTTCCCAGCCATTAGTCCAGCCTAAACTATTCTCGACAAGGCCGTATGGCCATCGTCTCCTCTCACACCCCTTTCGTGTCCGATGCCGCCCACCATGAGACTGGCTTGGTGGCAGGTTGAGTGTTGTCGCACTGCACTGCGCTGCGCTGTGATCCAAGGCGCATAACGACACAACGTCCCACCCTTTGTCCGTCATCCGGTTTTCCATCTTTCGCAATCTGTGCTGCAAGGCTGTCTCCTCCCACTGCCGCCGCCGCCGCCGCCGCATGGCCATGAGGCTGAGAGGCTGAGACCCGCGCCGCTCCGTACCGCAGCCATGCTCGATTTGGGGCGCCTGGAGACGGGGCCAGAATGGCCTCAAACCGTCCAGAAAAAGAAAAGGCACACTGAAAAGAGTCTCATCGACCCTCCTTACAAGTGTATCTCTTGGGGGGCCACCTCTGGCAATGAGCATGCTTGTTATCAGCAGTCTCGACAATGTCGTCGCCGATCATGTTGCCGTTGCGCCGCATTTTGGGTTTCTCACCCTTTGCCCTTACCATCCTCCTGCACCGGATTGTTAGGCCAATATTGACCCCGAGTCGCATCCACAGAGGCAGGAAGGCTTTCAAAAGAGGGGAGTTGAACATCTCCTATCCTAGACAAGTGGTAACATCAGCGGCGGCCACATCATGTCGAGGAACATTCCCTACGAGAACGAGGACATCCTCACTGCTATGGGGCATTGATCGTCTTGCCATCCCGCTCCTGTAAAAGGACGAGTGGCCGACCAACCGAGCGGGTGAGCAATCAAGGGTGCAAATCAAGTCGCGCCCAGGAGAAGCGGAACACACCAACAAGCAAGCAAACAAGGGAGACTTTCGAGCCAACTCGTCGTCGATCAATCACACGCGCCTTGGAATGCGGCGCCGTACCCGTCCAGTCTCGATTCGTCTCGTCTCCGGGGTAATCGACAATGCAATGCCTACAACGACCTGGAACAGGGTAATCGACAACTTCGCCGTGACGATGACAACGCCAATGCACCTGAGGACGATGGTGCCGCCACACCTGCAACTACTACAAAGCACCACCTCG